TGAGAGCAGGACAGTCTCAGTTTTTCGACAGAATTTTCAGACTTTTATGTTTTCACTGTTACATGGTAGGAGGTGCTATGACACATCTTCTGAAAGAGTCCTGAACGTCTGAATGAAAAGAAGGTGAAGAAGAAGCAGAAACAAGCGATCACATGCAGTATTTTAAGCAGATGCATATGTAAAATAACGTGATCATCAAGCATTAAACAGCATAAAAATAAAAACTGTCTAACATTACCGAATGAGATGTCATTTTTTTTTTGTTTAGTTTTTTTTAAAGCAGGGGCTCTGTTCTTTCTTTTGAGATATTGCATGTTCAGATATTCATACAATAATATATTCTTTGGGCCATGAACATTTTGTGAAAATTATCAAAAATGCTGGAGGTGGCTTGCAACTTTATAAAATAAATAAAAAAATAAAAACTGCTGGTGGGGAAAGAGTTAAAAGGCAACAAGAGATGTCCTGTAGTAGGGCTCGTTTTCTCCTTCAGGTCAAATATTGTCCAGCAAGTCACTTTGAAAATGGAAAACCGTAAAGGAACTTGGGTCTTGTGCAGCTGACATTTCCACCACAGTAGCGCAAGAATGCAGCTAAGTTTGTTTAGCATGGCTAAGCATTCGCACCTGCATTTGTGTACTTGCGTAAAGTATGTTTCTGGCCTTATGCTGATGAGCAGATCTGAGGAGAAGGTCTGCAGGGTTTCTCAGGCATGTTTATTGTAAGGAGACCTCTCGACAGGTTCCTCTGGAGTACTGAAGTACTCTCAGCATATTGCAGCATTCACTGCGATTACCCTCATTTAACAAACACAGAATACTGTAGTTAGTCACCCAGAATGTCTCCAGTCACACTCTATATGGCTGATTAACTAATTTTCCAAGTGTGATAGGACACAGAGCGAATGAATGGAGAAGAATGCACAATTTTTTACTTGTGGTTTGAAATCACCATTTTCTTCCCTCCGCAGGCATTTACTCTGCTGATCTCCAGTCTGTTTTAATTTGTTTTTTTTT